TCTCACTCAGCACCGCTGTCAAATGAATACTTAATTGAGCAACAATTGAGTAACAGTGATATACACAATGAAAGTGAGGAAGAGGAAGCTGATAAAAACGTCAAGACTTCGACAATTAAAAATATGAATGAAGCCTTCGTGCATCTTGACAAATTTTTGACTATTATGGAAGAATGTGATGCCAATGGAGAACGTATATCTCAAGTACGTAGGGCAATTGAGAAAGACACAGCATGTTATAAAAATCTTTATCAAGAAAAGAAAAAAATGGGTGGTATTCAACTAACTCTTGACAACTTTATAAAGGGAACACCCGAAAGCACTTAACACACCTCTTTAACTTCATTATGTATACATATTGATAGATGAATACTTTAAAACATAGTTTTTGGTGCATATTTTTTTACATCTGTCTACTTTCGAACATTCAACATTCGCACACACTTTCAGAAACCAATTATGTGCGAAAGTCGAGGGCCTACTGTAATAGTATATTTTGGCTTGTCATTATTTTCACATGTATACAACATTATTATATATTTACTAATAGAAATATAAATAATAAAATGAGAGAAGTCCCAAAGCCCAAACAATCTTTTGTTACTTAAAGTTGCTGCATTTATTTCATTGCAACTGAAATACTTTTATAACATTTTCACCATTACACACTGTTTAAATATTATTTTGATTTTTTCTGATTCATTCAGTTAACATCTAATTCAGTGAACATCTTATTCATAAAATGATTATAAATGTACTATACTATATAATCTACACATGAAGAATATATTTAAAAAATCTTATAATACATAAGTAGTTTCAAATAAATCTTTTCTTTAAATTAACTTGAATCAAACAGTATACAAGGATTAAAATATCTTAAGTTAAATTATTTAAACGTTTAAATGTATTAATTTAATTAATTAATTTAATGTATTAAAAATATTCTTAAAAATGTAATGTTTTCAAATAGTTAATACTCAATCGAACTAATGAATACAAAAGTATAAAACAAAATACGAACTGTCTTTCATGCAGTTATAAACACCTTTCCGTATACTATCATCACTGATATTTGAAACTAATTGTTTTTGGTCTTCTTCTTTTACACCGGTCATGTTAGTTTACAAACATCTAAATTTACGTAACCGATAACAAATTATAAACATTTAAAGAAATAACACATAAATACGTGGTATGAATAAATATAGATTGTCTTATTTATTTCTATGTACGTTTTGAAAAATTGATTCAGTTAAACTTGTAAATATAATACAGGTTAGTCCCGGTCAGACTTAACCATAAACAAGGTATGATCACCGACGAGAAACAGAATAGATTATACATCACTAATGTAAGTTTTTGTCATAGAACTGAGGATTACGTTACCCTCTTATCATTCCCGTGTCATTGACAACATTACCAACGAAGTACAAATAAAAAAAATAAGAAACATGTTCTTTTTTATTTTTTTGCCTCAATATTAAATTGTGTTATATACTCGTAATTTTTTTATATTTATTTATCAATATATTAAACCTAATTTAACGTATCTACATAAATTATATCTCTTCTGTATCATATGTGTCGAAGTATTGGTGTTCGTAAAATATATCAGGGATATGTCAAACTGAAAGCTTACGAGCTCTCTAGAGTCTTTCTCCTCACGGAGAATTACTCCTCATCCTACTTTCACTTATATTAACACTGGCAGGTTTACACGAGCTGCTACATCACAGTCTCGGATGGCACTTAGAATAGAGGTAGTGGGGAAAGGCTGATTAGGAGTTACTAGCATAAGGGGAGGTCAGTTCGATCCCCTGATATAGGGTTTCATTCCAACAACTATCGATGATCCTGAAATCTCGAAAAAATGATCTTTGAAGGAAAACATTTTTCACTACCATCAAATTTACTCTCTTGAATAATTTAACTGTGCTCTTGAGAATTTTCTTCTACTGCTGTAAATAATGAAGACCTTTACTTACTCTCATAGTACACTCCTTGATAAAAAAAAAATGTACTTTATGATAACAGATTACACGAAAAATTTCATGTCTATAGTTTGGAAACGTCTGAATGTCGGCTTCAAAAATATGAAATAGAAAGTATAGGGTTCTATTTAAGAATTGTAACATTATCTTACATCAAATACCTTCTGCCATAACATATAGTATTTCATACCCTGTAACTGTTGTTTGACACATTTGATCGTATTACTCATACTTTTTGAAATAATTCGGTGTTCTTGATTTGGTCCTATTTCTAAACCTATTTTTATCTCGGAAACTATTGAGTTTTGGACCTATGTTCACCGGGGTTTTTTACTCAGTTTTATAAGTTGTACACGCTTTATCATTTGTGCGCAATAATTTTGTTACACCTCATACATTTTTTTTATATTTTCCAAACATATACCTCATTAAAAATGTCTGAAGCTTCCTAAAAATTTTTATATACGCATTACCCATCATTGCAGTTTCAGATTTAAAAGCATAAATTGTTCAAATTTTACAAAATTATTCCAAAATCAAAGACATGTTCACCAAATGCATACGCAGTATGCTAGAAAGGATGAATGCTGTAATAAAAACAAAGCGGGAAACACAAATTATAAATATCTATTTATTTAATATATACGTATACACCTTAATAGTTAATTGTTACACTCGAGGCGTATTGGTAAATAAACAGGCGACGAAGATGCGTCCTAAAATATAATTTACAATCACGCAGGTAGCGCAGAGAGAGTAAGGACGTTTCCCGAAATCTCCTTAATTTTTAAGGCCTCCATACCTGGGTCATAAAACACCCGGTCACCGCATACGACGCAACAGCTACTTCCAACTTACCACCATAAATCACCACAACGACGAAACAAGACGAAACCAGACTTCGACAATTTCCTATCTCAAGAAGTAAAATAGACACACCCACGACCAATAACAAAATACAGCTTTTCTCCACCTAAAACTGCAACTGACCAATACGAAAAAACCCGGGATTACATAAACTGAAACGTTACGAGAACCAAACAGAACACTACGAGACGACTAAACGTTAAAGATCCAGTCATTCCATCAGTATTTGTACCGTCAAAGTTTAATCTGTATAAAATAAAGTGATAGTTATTATCTCTTGCCTTGTCTTCTTCCTTCGATCGGGACAAGAACCTTTCCGTAAGTTGCGGCAACGTAACATTAATCAAAGTTATTATTAACACTTTGCCGTCCGCACGTCTCGTAAAAATTGATTCGCTTGACGCCGGCAGCACTAATTCGGATTACTTCGCTTGTCGTCAAGAAAAACTTGTTGGCGTGTGAAACTTATTGTTACCTAAACAAAACTCCAACAGAATGCAAACGATACTAAAGTGCTGTCGCCGGCCACTGGACGATACTATGTGCACGATACCACTGTGGTGTCGCCGGACGGCATAGTGTTAAATTCCGTTTTCGCCATTTAATTCCACGGTTATCGCAGGAAATGTTGAAAACTATGAATAGCTCTAATTTTTTTATTAGTGAGCATACATATTATAACATTATGATAAATTCATTAAAAAATTATAATCGAGTGTATACCTAAGCCCTTACATACCCTGGAATTATATAAGCTGAAGCTATCGATGTACTAGGCCCGCACTGATATTAATCATTTTTAAATATGTTGTTGGGTGACATCATTTTGAAAAACTTTTTCTTTTATATGTTGCTCACAAAAAGCTGTAGTTTCCGAAATATTCGCGAAAAACTTTTGTAACTACTACACTGAATCCTGTATTCATGAGCGCATCCGTGAGAGGGGTATAAGTATGTGTATAATGTAGATAAGTAAATACCTAGGCACTGTAAGGCCCCGAGTCACGTTTTCCCGATTTATGTTATTCCGCATTTACATTGTCTCTACTCGTTTGAGATGTTTCTTAAAAATAAAAAACGTATTTTAATGACAATAAAAGAAAACCATCCAATACGTTTCAGTATTATTCGTTAGCATCGCGATCTCATCGTTTTTCGTAAACATTCGTTAAATATAACTTTTCCTATCATTTTTATACATTTCAAAGAAAATGTATCTTCTAATCTGATAAATTCATGTACAGATACGTATGTCGCATTTATGCATACATGTCCATCCTGTGTACTACACTGAAGTATTTACCACACTAAGGTACGTCCTTTTTTACTTACGTTACTCACTCTAGAATCAATTAGAACGTAAGTCTGGGACCTTACAGTATAACCGAAAGCTCAAATGTCTCACAAGTAATAACTTCTATGAAATGTTTTAATTTTACACACCATACTAAAACTAACCAAAAATGATAAAAAAAAATTAAAAATGCAGATTGTTTTATATAGTAAATATTATGTTCTTGTTGGTAATAACTAGCAAACTGAAGAAACATTGATTGAATTTCTTGTGATATGCTAAAAAATGTTGACTCATTAAACTACAGTTCTGCTTTAGTATTTCATAAGAATTTAGATTTTCAGAAAAAACAATTTAACTATATTTTATTTTATTATTTAATACACAATTTCAAGTCATTAGTTTTTTTATTAATCTTGCTTGTATAAGTCACTATCGGTATTCTTAATTCCTATTGACTATTCGCATGCTCAACTTTTGGCGGATTATCATAGTAATAACATAGTGAGACCAATTTTAAATCGTTAATAACTCTTTAAATGTATCTAAATTATTGCTAAATACATTGTATAACAAATTCGATTTGGTTTACACTTACTTTATCTATATACTTATTCGGTTAAACCTTTTGAATATTTTAACTGTTTCAATACTTTTGAATCACTATATTTAATATTTTTTGTCTTCCGTTAAATATTAAAATTATTTAAAAAATTTTTAATTTATCTACATACATACATTTAAATATAAATGTATTATTACATATTAATGAATATAACATGTTTAATAAAACAAATATTGAATAATTCAGTTTCGTTTTAAGCATTTCAAATATGTATATAAATAAAGGATTTAGAGGTTATAAAAGATACACAAATACTTATGTTTGAGATAGCGCCACTTTCTAGTTAATTTTAAGAACCGGCGATTATTCTAAAGATATAAGTAATAAATATTACGTATAAAACCGTCATAAATATATTTTTTATGATAATGTGTGTCAATGCTAGTGATTTTGGTTTATAAATAATTTCGTATATTTATCACAAGAACAATTTTTATTCGTACTTTTTGAAGTGTTAAGAGTAAGGTTAAACATGTTGCGAATTGTTTGTCGGAAATCTTTTAATTTAACTCAAGTTATGAAAAAGACTATAATAATAGATACTAAACAAAAGAGACAATTAAATTTACTTGAATATCAAAGTAAAGAACTACTTAGAGATTGTGGCGTTTCTGTACAAAACTTTGCTCTTATCGATGATTTAAATAAAGCAAATTCGGCATTAGAAACATTACGTTAGTATTTATTCTTAATTATTATATATTTTATGTGTGTAAAAATTTATATAATTAATTTTGTCTTTTTATATAAATAAAAATTGACGTTTTCCTCGTTATTTAAACATATTTTTTATGCGTGTATAGAAAAATTTAATATGTGAAAGCTTAATATAGTGCCCATTATGTTTAAAATATAATAAACTTTTTAATAACTGTATGTAGTTTTTAAATTGGTGTTTCTGATAACATTTCAATTGATGTTGCTTCAAGAAAGTTTCAAATAATGTCAATTATTTTCTTTAAGATGAAGTGATATGTTATATGTTGTATAAACTATTCAAATTTAAAATATTACTTTCTTCATTTTTAAATGATTGTATATATTTACACATATCATTATTTATGTTAGAATAGATTACATAGATTAGATTAAATTAATAACATTTGAAAATTTGAATATACGAAAAGCAATAGAATTTTTATTACTACAGTTTTGTGAAATTAAAATCTTCCTATTTGTAAAGCAATTACAATTGTATTGTTTTGTATAATATAACAATTGTTTTGAATATATAATTTTCTATCTATTTAATTTTTGTTTGTTAGATGCTGATGAATTTGTTATAAAAGCTCAAGTATTAGCTGGTGGTCGTGGTAAAGGATGGTTTAATAATGGTTTTAAAGGAGGTGTACATCTTATAAAGGAGTAAGTTTAGTTAATTAGTATAAAATGTGATATGAAAATGTATAATTTATTTATTATATTTTGTTATTAGCCGTAAAGCAGTTATAGATGTTGTAAAAAATATGTTAGGTCACCGTCTTATTACAAAACAAACTTCGAAAGATGGTATATTGGTACAGAAAATTATGATTGCTGAATCTGTAAATATTGCACGAGAAACATATGTCTGCATTCTTATGGATAGACAACACAATGGTCCTGTTTTAATTGCTTCACCAGCTGGTGGCATGGATATTGAAACAGTTGCTGAAAAGAATCCAGAATTAATAAAAACAGTGCCACTCGATATATATTATGGGATTGATGATGATATCGCTAAAGATGTTAGCATCTTTCTGGGCTTTGTGGATCCAGATGTTCAACAGAAAGCAATATTTGAATTAAAAAATTTATGGAAACTATTTGTAGATATTGATGCTTTACAAGTAGAAATAAATCCATTGGTCGAGACTACAGACAAGCAAATTGTAGCAGTTGATGCAAAAATTGCATTTGATGATAACGCACAATTTCGTCAACAAGACTTATTTGCTTTGGAAGATAATGATGAAAAAGATCCACGAGAAGCAGACGCATCACGGTTTAATCTGAATTATATTAGTATGGATGGCAATATAGGATGTTTAGGTATAATATAGAATTAGAATATTTTTAATGTTAAGAAAGGGAAGTACTTTATAAATATATTTCTAATTTGCTTTTAACAAACTTTAGACAATATATTTAAAACTTTGGAAATGGTAATTATAAATTAATAATAATAAGATAAAGATTTTAAAGAAATTTACATTTTATTTTCATACATTTAAAAATTAATATTGTATATTATGTTTAGTTAATGGTGCTGGATTAGCAATGGCAACTATGGATATAATTAAACTGAATGGTGGTTCTCCAGCAAATTTTTTGGATGTTGGTGGCAGTGTCAAAGAAGATCAAGTTTACCAAGCATTTAGAATACTTAGTGAAGGTATGTATTATGACAATTGTTGATGGAGTTACTATTGGTCTGCAAAGTATAATTGATAGAGTATCTGTACGTGCTCACAAAAAGAACAATTGGAACTATAACTTCATATTTTTTAAGTGAAGGAGGTAGAGAACATCTACAATGAATTTTACAGAAAGAAATATTTTAATCATTGAATACCAACTACGTAACGTGAACTCATTACAATAAAATCTCGATTATCTGATTTAATCAGACAACTAGTAGTCCAGATAAATGAAGACTCGAGAAAAACTTCTTCAAAATGTGTAATATGTAATTGTAGAATGCCAGGTCTTATTCTATATTTATAATGTAAAGAAACCGATATTTCTAATGTTCTTATGCGCTACGTTATTGTGAATGTATAAGGTGTTAAACAAACACAGACAACGTACAAAGCCTTTTATTATTAATGCCTTAGAATATTATATAATAGTGAAAAAATCAGGGAATACAAAATTTGTTCAATAGAGAGAAAACCAAAAGAGAAACTTAAAAGGTATTCACATGATTTAATAATTTATTTATCAGAATTACAGTTCATATTGCTTGTTATTAAACATGAGCTGTTATGTTCATTGGCATCCATCATTCAGCAGATTAAGCTGTTTGACATTTTATTGAAATAGTACAGCCAGTGTAGATTTCTCTGAATAAGCACCTTATTGAGCAAAAGGAGTTCCATCAACTTATGACAACTTATGACTGACTTTTCATCTTGTAAAATTTATTTTTAATATCTACTGTCCATGTTTCATAGACCAATGATAACTTTAGTTGAATAGTTTAAAATAAACTTGTTGTATACATTATTTTAATATATTTAATTATTGTATATATCACTCTTTACTAAAATATTCGTAGTAACAATTGTATAAATATATTTTGTTCAGTTTTTATGTATTACCATAATCCATAATTAGCATCTTAATAAAAATTACTTTTTTTAAAATAAATTTAAATAAATATTGAACATAAGTTTAATCTTTTTTTCTGAAATTTTTAGATCCAAAAGTGAAAGTAATTCTTGTAAATGTATTTGGAGGTATTGTAAATTGTGCTACAATAGCAAAAGGAATTATTGCAGCATTTCGTAATTTACAACTTAACATTCCCCTTGTTGTCCGATTAGAAGGTAATTACTGTTTTATTTTTATAATTATATTTTTTTATATATTTTTACATGATTTTTAAAGGATGATTTTCCTTAAATCAGGTACAAATGTAAAAGAGGCAAAGAAACTTCTTACAGAAAGTAATTTACCAATTATAACAGCCAATGACTTAGATGAAGCAGCAAAAAAAGCAGTCAGTTCTGTATAATCCTAAATTGATTACTTTCACGTTGTTTTCTTGTTATTAAGACTGGAAATATACAAATATGGTGGAAAAACAATAAGTCAAGAGGAAATGCATTAAGGATATTAGATTATTTTTATATTAATTTCTCAACATAATTTAATTTATTTAGATTTAATATTGTTAAAATTTTGTCTTTTTTTGATCTGAAGATCTTAAGTAAATCAATACTTTCAATTTGTTATTATTGTCTTTATTAAAATCAATTAAACAATAATAGTTGTTATTTGCAATTTTGTTCTTTTTATTTCAATTATTTAGTACAATTTCAATAGATAAATATTTTATACAGTTCTTGTTAACTTAAAATTGCATTGTTGTTCCAAGCTTAGCTGTTAGAACGTACATCCACATAAAATGAAAAAGTATGGAAATTATAAATTGCATATGTCCTCTTTATCTTTCTCTTTATCTATTTTTCTTTACACCTTCTTCTATGTTTGTGTACTGTAGCTGTTCTTTTTCTATTGTCGAAAACTGCCGTGCTTCTCTAAACCATTGGCATTCACTTCATAAGAACGTACTAGTATTGATTATAACTAAAAGAAAGTATGTTATATGAAATGAACATGTCATAAAATACAATGGTCGAAATTGAATCATCCGATGACCAAAAATTCCTTAAGCGAAATTACTAATTTCTTTTTTCTATTACAAAGAATATAGTTTTATACTATCAGTTACGTATATTTCGTAGGTCTATACATATCTTATGTATCTTGAATACACTTAATTGTATATTAATTAAAATACTTTTATATATATTTATATAACATTATCGGAATAAAAAGGTTGCAATATTTTACAATGTTTTGTAAGATTTTTATCATTTTTATAATTATATATAAGTATATTATTTAAACATACCTTTATAATTAATAAACATCTAGATTTTAAGTCTACTTTAAGATCGATAAAGTTTGTGTTCTAACACAATAATTCAAATAATGGGCCATAATGTATGTACAGTGCAGCTCTCACGCTTTTAGTTACTATTAAAAAGGAAAATCGGAGGCACGTTCCACCTCAGTCCTTCCAGGGAACATAATAGCCGAGCATCCATCTTTCCAGAATTCACTAAACATAAAAATCGCCGCCTCCCCTTGGTGGACATCTCCCCTTGCCGTTTTGCACTTTTACCTTGATAGTCATGTCTATGGAGAAAAGAGGCGAACTGTATAGAATTCAGTGTGGTGATAGCAAAAGTTTTTCGCCATTATTTCGGAAAATATAAAGTTACAAAATTTTTATCAGAGAAAACATTTATTCAAAATATCATTTTGTACATTTGTCAATTTTACAAAATCGACTTGCAAGAATTGCGTTTATGAAAGAACATTTGAACTAGTCATCTGAACATTGGTCAGAAGTCATTATGACTGATGAATCTAAGTTTAATAGATTTGGATCTGACAGAAAAACTTATGTAATACGACGTACGTATGAGGAATTCAATAAAAAACATATAAAATCAACAGTAGGAAGTGGTGGATCTATAATGGTATGGGATGCAATGACAATGAACGGCATTGGTCCCATTCATATAGTACAGGGCTTCATGGATCGCTTTGTATATCTGAATATAGTGAAGAATACATTAATATCATTTAGAACAAGGAACATGCTCAAAGATTGGATTTATCAAGCAGATAACAATTCAAAACATATTGCTCGAGTCATTAAGCAGTATTTGGAAGATAATAAAATTGGTATTATGAAATGGTCTACTCAGTCTCTGGGTTTGAATCCAATAGAGATGCTTTGGATTGGCGTAGATAAATGTGTAAAGCGAAGAAAACCAAAAAATATTAAAGATTTATATGCAACTGTACAAGAAGGTTCATATTCAATTTCTGAAGTAAGCTGTCAAAAATTATTTGAATCAATGCCACGTATGTCTGCTGTTATTTTAAAAAATAAAGGATTACATACAAAATGTTAATATTATACAACTTAAAATTAACATAAAATATGAAAGTAAACAAATTTTTAGTGTGTCTTTAAGTACGTGTTTAATAAGATTTTGACATTGTAAGTACAAATCATAATGTATTTCTTTATAATTTGCGCTAAGAGGATTTTTTTCTGATACATATTAATTTAAGTTCCAACCATGTAATATATAAGATAAATATTCAAGTAGTTTCTTTTCATCAGAATATATAGTGCATCAAAGTTTAAATTACAAGTATCCTTAGGTATATGGCTACTACTTACATATAAAAGAATTTAGCCAATACAATTTTTTAGGTGTACAAATTCACTGGAGAGATTTCATGGAAATAAATTCTACACATGAAAAGAACAAAAAAAGTTCATAACTATTATGTACTTTTATGAACCTTATTTATTCTTTTCATATTCAGAATTTATTCTTTTTTAAACATATGTTCTATTGAACCTTGTATTTGAATTATATGTATTGAGTTTTATGTGGGTATAATAGTTGAATCAATTTCACCCACTTATTTACTAATAGATTTAAATATCTACCATAGAACCTTGTATTTCTGTTTTATAAATTCTTTCTTGTTGTATCTTTTGTATGAGACTGTAGTGCATTAACCTTCCATGTGATGGAAGAAACAAACTTAACTTCTGATATACAATTCATGTGTCAGATGGTATTTGTAAACAGTCGGAAAGGAATTTTATAATATATAAATTTGTTGGTGAATATACAATGTATTACTGAACTACGATTAATTTCCTCAATCTAAAAGAGACGGTGTTTGTTTTAATACATTACTTCATTGTACGTTTTGATACTTAATTTCCTATTTATTTATTTATTTATTTATATATTTCCTATTTATAAAAATATGGAATAGAAAGTATAGGATTCTATTTAAGAATTATAATGTGACCTCTGCAGGACGTTTCAAGGTTACATCATGGTCAAATATCTCCCGTCCTGATATGTAGTATTTCATACCCTGTAACTTTTGTTTGACATATTTGTCCGTATTATTGACATTTTTCGAGATAATTCGGTGTTTTTGATTTGGTCCCCATACATTTTTTGTAAACAAAACCTATTTTTATCTCGGAAAAGTTTTGACCT